AAAAGTTGATTCATTGGCAAAACCAAATGTGTCATTTCGTTGTTGCTTTACCAGAAGAGTCACAAAAGTGTAAATTTCCAGTCATTTTCAATAATAAATTGCAATTCGTGTTTTTTTTTTTTTTTTTAAGGAACAATGAATGAATCTTCTCATGAACTACCCCACAAGTATGTAAAATTTGAATAATATCTGAGTCACTTTTGGTTAGAATTTTTTTATGACACCTAACGTAGCAAACATAAAAAAAAAAAAAAAAGAAAAAACAAAAGAAATAAAAGGCCAATGAAAATAGGAAAAATGTGCAGTTTTCCTTTGAACTGTGCACTTATTTAAGTCCTTTATTAAAAATTCTATTACGTTTCGGTCTTCTGTTCTTTCTCTTTTTACACGAAAGAGAAGAGCCTGTCTGTTCTGTCCTTTCTTTTTTTTTTTTTAACTCTTTCTTTTTAATCTTTCTAATTTTTTTTTTTTTTAATTCTAGTCAAAGCCAATTACGCAAGTTAATGAACCAAAAGAACAGAACAAAAAAAAGAAATGAATTGAAATTTATCTTGCAAAAAAAAACAAAAAACCAAAGGGAGATTTTAAAATATTTCTCTTCTCGTTTTACAAACATTTACCAAACGATTTTCATACATTATTATTATTATAAAAAATAAAGTGATTCGCTTTTCGCGATAAAAAAAAAAAAAAGAAAATATCCAACGTTTGAAGACAAAGTTTTCACGACTGCCCCTTTTCGCAAAGATAAATGGATTATAATATAATATATAAAAAAAAAAAATCCACGCGTTTAATAAGTGTCAAAGAATCGAGGAAGAGGAGGAAGAGGAGGAGGAGGAAGAGGAGGAGGAGGACGGTCTAATGCTTTTCTCATTTTTATTTTAAGATTAAAGGGAAAACCCTCCTCTCGCCCTTATATACATACATCGATGGATTGTTCGATATGAATATGATAATAACTCTGGCTTTATTTAAACGCCAATAAACTATATCAATGAAAACAAAGGAAAAAGAAAAATGATATAATAACTTTGAATATCAAGATTTTCTTCAACACGTTGTTTCAATATTATTCGATAAAAAAAATAAACAAAAATCGCGTAAGATGGGAAAAAAATCGATTGATTCGAAATTACGAGTATCAAAATATATATATATATATATATTTTTTTTTGTTTATTTATTTATCTAACATTAAACGAAATGATATTTGTTCCACGTCACGTCACGTCAATCTTATTCAAAATATTCAATTTATTTCGTAATACATTATTAATAATTATTATAATTATTTCATTATTATTATTATAATTATCATCGTTGTGTTGTTTGTTATTCTTATTATAATTATTGTTATAATTATTGGACATATTTTGTTTTTTTTTTAGCTTTTTTGCTTGACATTTACGGATCGTAGCAAAGTTAATATCACGATACTCGTATCATATGGTTTATGTGTGTATATGTGTGTTCTATATGTTTGTCTCTGATGTTATTAGTTTATTATCATTATTATTATTATATGTTATTAGTATCAGGGGTTTATCACTTGGTTTGATAGCTTGAGGGACTTATTAACAAACTTTATAATATCAAACGGAAGTTTGATCGTTACCCTTACACCCTTCCTTTCTTCCTTCCTTCCTTCCTTCCTTCCTACCTCCACATTTCTTTCAAGGGTGGATATCATTTTACATTAATAGAATTACGTAAAATGAATTATAAATAAAAACATGTGTGCAAATCACACGTGTTAGAAGTGAAATGTTGAAAAAAAAAAAACTAAGTTTTGAGAGAATAAGACGAACGAGCTTTTCGTGAACAAGTCTCTGTCTCATTCTGTCTCATTCTCTCGCAGGCTTAATCTTATATGTTTGTCTCTTTTTCTCTTTTTACTAAATATTGTGACCGTTTCATTGCCGCCTACCGCTCCGTTACATCGCCGCCTACCGCTCCGTTTCATTGTTTTCAAATCACTCCATATTCTAAAGAAGTTTTCACTTTGAAAAAAAAAATCATTAATAATCATCGAAAACGTCGAAATGTTTTAACTATGTCAAACTATTTAAATCATCAGTCAGACGTATATAGAAGGGAAAAAAATATGAAATGAAAATTGAAAATTGAAAATCAACTATCAATCGTGACAATGCAGGGTGAATTGTAGTATCAGCAGCAGGGATGACGAAAAGGGGGATGAAAAATAAACGAGAATACTGTGCAGAGCATAGGAAAATGGTTGAAAGGACGTTTATTAATCGCTTCGTTGAACATACGGGTGGTGTGTGGTGGGTATATGCTCATTGTATTTTACGTAACGTTCAAAAAGAAAAAGAAAAAAAGAATATTGCACAGTGAAACGCAATATTACAAGGGACGGGAATGGAGCGAAAAAACAAAACAAAATGTTTTTACAAGAAAATATTCCCAATATTCACCATAAGGTAGAATCGTTTGTTAGAATAATAAATAAAATGATTAGATTTCAAGACATTTTTTGCAAATGTACGAATTATTTTATTTTCCTTTTCTTTTT